AAATTTATTAAAGTTCAACGAAGAAAATCTTTTTTCTCTTTAACCAAATGCAGAGAGTTAGAATGGTGGTTTACCAAAATATGCGTTGTTGATGAATCTTGTGTTGAGAAGACACATAAATATTAACTGGGAATTACTACTTCCATGTTAAGTTGGATGATTCAGAGAGAGATTAATTAACCTAATAGTTTTTTATGAATATAACTTATTTTCAAAGATATCAAGAACAACAAAGGGAAGTGTGTTTTCTTCGATCCAATTTCATATAATCTAATTACTTGTAAATTAAAATGTTCTTAGTCAAATCAGCATCATACATTTATTTTCATGCATATCAAGTGCAGTACATTATTTTGTTTTTTATATCTGGTTAAGTGTGCATTTTATAGCACATCGATCATGTTTGATATTATTTGATTTTAACCGATATTGGTTGAAGAACCTATAACTTTTTTGTAATCAAAGAACAATAACTAACCGAGTATGCATACCTACATGTTATGAATTCTATGGAAATTAATTACAAAAACTGGAGGCATTTCTATTCTATAACAATTTGCTTGAAATCTTACTGAAGCATCTTAATTATACATGCAACTCTCCTGTCAAGATAAGAAATACAGATTAATGAACAATGAAATGCTCTCATCATTTTGATCATATTTCCTTCATCATTTTTAATAAAGTGTTGTTTATTTTACTCTAAATTTATTAAAATTCAACAAAGAAAATCTTTTTTCTCTTTAACCAAATGCAGAGAGTTAGAATGGTGGTTCACCAAAACATGCGTCGTTGATGAATCTTGTGTTGAGAAGACACATAAATATTAATTGGGAATTACTATTTCCATGTTAAGTTGGATGATTCAGAGAGAGATTAATTAACCTAATAGTTTTTTATGAATATAACTTATTTTCAAAGATATCAAGAACACCAAAGGGAAGTGTGTTTTCTTCGATCCAATTTCATATAATTTAATTATTTGTAAATTAAAATGTTTTTAGTCAAATCAGCATCATACGTTTATTTTCATGCATATCAAGTACATTATTTTGTTTTTTATATCTGTTTAAGTGTGCATTTTATAGCATATCGATCATGTTTGATATTTTTTTTATTTAGATTTCTTTTCTTTTAATACTGAATTTTCATAAAAAAAATAAAATTAATTAGTTTAAATTAAAAATAAATAGCTGGAAAAAAAATTTAAACATAAAAATAAAAAATTTAAAAAATTAACACCGTCTGAATAGTGATATCATGCACACCGAAAAACCCACTCCTTTTGATTTTGTACTTAATTGACAAATCAATATTTTTCTTAATGTTTTTTTTTAATATAATTTTACCCTTTATCAACCGTTCAACTCAAATAGCCATGCTAGCACGTGATTCAGGTTTTCTGGAGAACAATAGGAGTCTCTCACGGGAGCGATAAAAGGAGTATTTTATTTTAACGATCGAGATATGTTGGTTGGAGTTATCTAAAACGCAATGCGTTTATAAAATTATTTGTACAATATTCAATTTGTCAAATCCAATATAAAATATAGGTTCATTTTTTTTAAACAAATCAATATTTTTCTTAATGTTTTTTTTTTATATAATTTTACCCTTTATCAACCGTTCAACTCAAATAGCCATGCTAGCACGTGATTCAGGTCTTCTGGAGAACAATAGGAGTCTCTCACGGGAGCGATAAAAGGAGTATTTTATTTTAACGATCGAGATATGTTGGTTGGAGTTATCTAAAACGCAATGCGTTTATAAAATTATTTGTACAATATTCAATTTGTCAAATCCAATATAAAATATAGGTTCATTTTAAAAAAAAAAAAACGTAAAAAAGAAAGTATCGGGTTTTAAAAAAAAACGTAAAAAAGAAAGTATCGGGTACGGATAAATAACAACATAATAAATACAATTCAACCCCTATGAGTTAATATCATCCTTATGACTGGTTAGTGAAGATATTATTTAATTGATAAATTAATAAAAAAATAATTTACCAGGATATTCTTTATTTTTTTTAAACATCATTATTTTGATTTTTTCTTAAAACTAAAACGTGTTTCTTATTAATCATTTGAATTGACTTTTGACTTTCTGCTAGATAAGGTTGGGTCAGGTAACTTCTATAAAAAATCAATTTTAAATTCGAGTTCGTGTAAGAAGGAAGATGGAAAGATATATATTTATATTTTTAAATTATTTAGATATATTGGTTTTAAAAATAAATTTTTAAAAAATAAAAATATATTATTTTAATATATCTCAAAATATATATTTTTTTAAATAACTATACAAATGAGATCTAAAGTTGTCCTAGGGTCGAAATCAAATTGTAAAATAATGTTACTTGATTTTAATATTTTTTTTTAATCCGAGTAAATAATAACAAATGAGGGGGGAGAGAGAGAGAGAGAGAATCCGAGACAACAACAAAGAGGACTTGACTTCTTTGAAAACAACCGTTCTACAGTTATTTCTTAACTCATCAAAGAGAAAATTCGTTCACTCGGGAGGAGAGTAGAGGCGAGGATAGACCAGGAGCGAGGCAGCTAAAGATCTCCTATTATAAATTTACATCTCTACCGTCTGAACAAGCATCCTCATCCTCATCCCCATCCTCATCGCTATCTGGTTTCTGTAATTTCTTAAGAGATCCTCCCCTCCTCTCACTCTCATCAATCCTTCTCTGACAATTCAGGTAAATCTGCTTCTTTCCTTTCCCTTGATGATTGTACGATTGCTACTTCTGATCTTTCTCTTTGTTTCTGTTGGTTTATTTAGCAGTATTGATAATAGTTCTCATTCGCGTTTTCTTTTCATAAATAAAATAAAATAAATCCAGGCACCCACACGAAACAATGGCTGTTACAATGAAGCAGATGGCTCTCGCAGTCACGGTCCTTGGCCTCATCTCTTTTGTTTTTGGCATTGTCGCTGAAAATAAGAAGGTACTATACTTTTTATTTTTATTTTTATTTTTATTTTTATTTTTTTACAGACAAATCCTGTCTTCATATTAAACAAACATATTTCTTATTTACTATTTTTTTAAATAAATAAAATAATAATAATAATAATAATATAGCCTGCTGCTGGAACTCCAATACCTGGAAAAGGTGTTGTAATTTGCAAGTATTCATCCGATCCCACAGTACCTTTGGGGTTCCTCTCAGTTGGATTTCTGGTAGCAACTACAGTCGTTGGTTATCTATCTCTCTTCTATCCTTATAAAGGAAAATCAGTCCCCAACTCTGCTTTGTTTCAGAGCACCAGTTTCTCCATCTTCTTCAACATTGCTGTGTAAGTCTTATCCTTTTTAACTGTTTTTTGGATTTTTGCCCCTCGGTTGCTATCTCGTTATGCATGTAATATGAAACTCATGCTATACTCATTTATTTGGAGGACTGCACAATGGAACTTCACTGAAACTAACCCATTTTTTTTATAAGCTAAGAATGCTCAATTACATGTATTTTGCTTGCTTGGGCTGCCTGCTCGCGTGTAAAATACCTATTTATTGCTTTGTATCTCTCGACTTTTTTAGATTTTAAAGGCTTAGACTCGTAGCTCTAGATCGTTGTTTTTTACCTTTTTTTTAAATTTTTTTTATCTAGTTGCTTTCTATTCCTATAGCAAATGTTTTTCCTTTGTTCTATGAACTTGATTTACCAAATTTAATATTGAGTTTTTGTTGGTCCTCTAGACAATTCTCTCTAAAATGGCGTGTCCTGTGAATCTCAAACCAGGTTTACGGCAGGATTGGCAGCAGCATTGATGTTGTGGCCAACAATTCAAGAGCACTCTCACTTGAGTCACACCGTTCATCACGATCCTGACTATCAATGCCCCACTGCCAAGACCGGTCTCCTTGGTGGCGGTGCTTTAGTTTCTCTCGATTCAGCCCTTTTCTGGTTAGTCGCACTCATGTTAGCAGACAATGCTCGGGAGGACTACTTTGATGAAACGGAGAAGGATGTCAAGGGGGGACATCATGATGAGGTGCTTGAGGGTGATTTTGATGCACCTGCACATCTTAAGGGCACTGCATAAAGCCTGTTGTGTCGTTAAGAATGACTTGGAACTCTCTCTCTGGGTTTTACACATTTCCATGTCACACATGTAATTCCCAGTTAGCACCTTGAAGAAGCCACACTGCAACACTGCAACATGGAATTCATGATTGTAAATATTGAATATTGTTTGGATTTCAATTCTATAGGAATCGTTTGGTGTACCCGGGGTTATGCTCACTGGAGACGTGTGTCGTATGTTTATGTGAGTGAAGAAGAGCATAATTCTGTGGTATGCTGAATAATTTCTCTGAATCGAATGCTTTTTCAAATGGGAAGTTGCAGTTTAGACCGAGTATCAGAATTTTTAATTTTTAATTCTGTGTTAATTAGTAGCTTATCTATTATTTATCGAGGTTACAAGGTTCTGTATCTATTTCCTACTTGAAATAAGCAGTTGGTTATTTAATTGTTCACCTTTATTCAATATATATTCTGATATCTGGTGAAAATCATGCGTGGAGATGAAAGAGGAAGGGGTCGCGTACAATTGTCGATGACAATGTATTTCGTTTGCCATATGATTTGAGGCAACCGATAGAAATTACTTGGAGAATTCATTTATATACATGATGTGTTGAATCATGAAATTTAAAGGCACCCACAGTGTTTTGGAGGGCTCTGCTGGTGGTGAAAGAATAACATTCTGCAGCAGCGGCTTATGCTTTATTTTTTTTTATTAACGATGATGTTCGAATCATTGTTACTCAAACCACTCTTTCACTGTGTTATTTTTTTTTTTATTAACGATGATGTTCGAATCAATTTATATATATTTTAATTAATCTTATGATTTTTCAAATTAATAATCATATAGAATTTTACTAGTCCGGGCAAATCTGAACCTGAACAGCTGAGATTGTGTTTCAACGAGTTATTTGTTGAAGTGGGAAGAGGAGAGAATGGATACGTTTGCGCGAAGGTGGGATGAAAGATGCATTCGCCTTGCCCCTTAAATAATTTTTCTAATTTGACCTGATTTGATTTCTGGTGGCTAGTTAGCCTTTCACATGTTATTTGTGTCAATGGTAGTAGGCTCACCTACATTGATCTTTTGGTAGCCTTCCCTTCCACACTTGCAGGCAGCATTCTTCTTATTGCCGCTTCTACTTCTAGGCTAGGCTGCCGACACAACATCTTCTGCCCTTTTATTTTATTTTTATATAGTGAATTTACCATTCTAACTCCAAATTCTTCAATTTGATCTATCTATGTTTTCTAAAGTATTGCATGTTAATAATAATTGTGACTGCGATCATATCTATGCAACCCGGTATCTGGCACAGATGAATCCCTCATATCGGCCCAGCTTGTTGGAAAAAGACGGGGTTCTTCCATTTGCTGCATCAGACGTAGTTTTGAGTTCCTCTCCGTGGAGCAGTCATGTTGTTGGTACAAACTCTTCTGCCCCACATTTTTACATGCTTCCCTTCTAACTCTCTCTCGTGCTCCATTCTTGATTTTTCTCAGGAAAAATTAGTTCTTGGATTGACTTGGATTCGGAGGATGAAACTCTTCGGATGGATTCCGAAACCACATTGAAGCAAGTAATAGCTTGGGCTAATCATCTCTCTTTACAGGTGATTTTCAATCCTGAAATTTAAACTGCTTCTTTACTTCATTCTTTCAAAGTTGCAATGTATTTCAATTTCCATGAACTCTATATAGCCTGACAAGTGGTCGAGAAACCAAAAACTTTTACTATAAGCCAACCCTTTCCTGTTACTTGTCAGTAAGATGGCAGTCATTGGAGGTGCATCAGCATACAGAAATTAGTTTGTACAAGACAAATTCTGTATGCTGTTAACTTTTTTTGTTCCACACCTTCAATGGCTGTCTTCTTTCCACTTTTGTCTGTCCTAAAGTAAACAAAAGGCACAAGCTGTAGCACTCTTCTGATTTACCCCCTTTTGCAATATCTATCCCTATTCCCGATGTTCATTCATCTTTACTGTTTGTGTTGTGGTGATTTCTCGTGTTCAAGATATAGTTATTTCAGAAAAGCCATTTTTAAGAGCCTATGGTGTTAAAGCTGTCATTGTCTGCTGCAGGCATGCATTCTTCCTTCTCCCACGGGTGCATCCTGTGCTAATTATGCTAGGTGTGTAAATCAGATTTTGCTGGGCCTCAACAATATGCAGGTACCTTTCGTAATCCAAATCTATTTCTCAATAACTTTTTTTTTTTCCCTTTCTGTTCTCTTTCATTGTTGCTGTCTTAATTCTTATTACTTCTTTATTAAAGTTGTGGCTTAGGATTCCGCTGGTGAAGACTGATGACGACGACGACGTTATGGATGCTAACTCTACTAGCTTTGTAAGCGACGTCCCCTTTTATTTTGCTTTTCTTTCATTTTGTTAGATCTGTAATATTCGTTACAAGTCTAAATGCATATAGTATCATGCATGTAATGTACCCAGCAGGCAATATTAGGCAGGTAAGGTTGTGCATTTTCAAGTAAAGAACGGTATATATATTTATGTACCTTGAGAAACATAATCGCAAAGAAACCAAGACGTATGTGATTGCTTGAACCAGTGAAGTTCTTGGAGCACAGCTCCCTCATTGTCATTACTAAGGAGATAGTTTGTCGCGTTCCCTGAAAGAAGATTGATAAGTGCTTATGTAGTGGTACTATAACTAGCATATGATGAACACACACACACACACACCCGATTTTGGATGTTGAGGCAATAACAAGCATCCATTAATTCCAGCAGCAGCATCTGATGTAAATTTGTAATAAATATAATTAAAGAAAAACCCATTGAAATCAATTCAGCTCACTGTGATATTATTAAACAAAAAATGAAATTAACATGAGAAGAAATCAATGCATTCAATTACTTGTGAGCGGTATAAAACAAAAGTATAGCACTAATATTAAGTAATTATCTTCTGCAGTGGGTGAAGGCGCAGGTGCGATCAGAAGATGAGACTTATCGGCGCCGCCTTCCCACCATTCCTTTTCCATTTCCTTCTTCACCATCCAAAATCATATTGCGGCGGGGAGAAATGCTTTGCTTGGGTGGCGCCAGAGACCAAGAGCAGCAGAAGGAAGGAAAACAAACTATTTATTACTTTTTAGTACTACTAGTAGTTTTTTATTGTTTTAACAACCCCATCTTGAGCCCCCCAGTGTATCTGTGTTTTTGTTTTAACAACTTCACTCCCCACCCACCCTAATTTCCTCACTTCACATTTCACCTTTAAGCATGTTCATCCCCTTTAAATTTTAATAGGTTTTTTTTTTTAGTGTTTTAAAAATATTTTAAAAAGATTAAAATTTTTTATTTTAACTTATTTTTTTTAATATGCTAATAATAAAAATAAATTTTGAAAAATAAAAAAATATTATTTCTATAAAAAAATATTTTAAAAAACAATTTTAATCAATAAAAGTTAATAGTAAACAAAAGTTAATGCTCAAAGGACAGTACTAGAACATGAAAATTAAAATTAAAGGGTAAATGTCTTGATATTATAACGTAATAGACAGGCGGGTTAGCCTTAAGTGAAATATAAAAGGATAAAATGAGTGACCGGACCGGACCCATGCAGGCAGCCATCATATCGAAGAAAGAATTACAAGGGAGTGGTGGCCTAGCAGAAGAAACAGCTATTTTTAGAGAGCAGTAGTAATTATAATAATTGAGTTACTTGGTTTTCTAAATTTTATACCTCTGTCGCTGGCACTCCTTCCCTACTCTCTCTTAACAAATTAAAAAAATTATAAATAAAAAATAAAATCAAGAAACCCAAAGTGGAAGGGAGAGTTTCTTAACTCATTTGATCGCTCCTCCCTCGCTTCGATCCGCATCCATTCTGTCTTGCAATAAATAAAACACGGTAAGAGCAGTTCCTCCTCCTCCTATTTTTACTCCCATTTGTTTTAATTGTTTCCGCGTCGTGGCCTCCCTCTCCTCTCCTCTCTACAGAAAGAGAAAGAGAGAGAAGAAGAAAATTAGAGACAGAGAACCGGTGGACTGAGCAATTCATAACATAACAAATAATACACAACACAACAGTAGCAGGCGGCTACGAAGACGAAGAAATTGTAATAAGAATATAATCTTTTCCAAAAGAGCCTCAGATCGGTTGGGTTTCTATCTCTCTCTCCCCCATTTATTACTATTTCTAGATCTCTAATCTCCTCTTCTCATCTGCCTATTTTTCTATCTATTCAATACTAATTTTGGGGTTTCTGTATTCCTCCACCAGGGAACATGGGCGGGGAGGACAATAAGGAGTCAGTCGCCGATAGTCCAGACTCATCATCACCTGCCGTTAAGAAGAAGCGCAGCGGCGGAGGTATTCTATCCCGTGTTTGGAAGGCTGTCTTTAGACCTCACGGTGACGATTTCGAGAAGAGACTGCAACACATTTCTAAGGAAGAGGCTGCTGTTTTATCTAGAATCAATCGGAGATCCCGCAATCGGAGGAAGATCACTCGCCATCTCATTGTTTTCTCTGTCCTTTTTGAGGTCTGACTAACTTCTTTATTTGTACTATCTATCTAGCTAATATTTTTTAGGGTTTAGGCACTAACTAATAATAATAATAATAATAATAATAATAATTTCTGTTATTGTTTTAATAAATCCATCCGTCCTCCAGGTTATTGCAGTCGGTTATGCTATCATGACCACAAGATCAATGGATATGAATTGGAAGATGAGGGCTTTTCGAATCTTACCAATGTTTCTTCTGCCTGCTTTATCATCCCTTGCGTATTCTGCCTTTGTGAGCTTCACCAGGATGTGTAAGTCTGCCTCCCCCCTCCCAAACTTTATTTATTTATTTATTTCCTCTGCTTACTTTCCTGGGTGGTTTACTGGTCATCATCCTTTGCATACCAATTATTTCAGTTAAATTACTATTCTCACTACAATAATAACTCAATATATCTAGGTCCTTCTGTCTATTGTCGGAATGCAGTCAGTCAACGTAAATCATGATATTTTTGTGCTATTGTCATTTACTCTTGATTTTCATAATACTAGCATCCTGTGTTACTATTACTGTTGCTCTGTGAATCTAGTTACTTTTCTTGGTCTCTACAATAGAGATATGCTCTCCTCTCTTTTCTTTGTACATTTTCAGAACCCATTCTCTATCTACAACTTAAGATGCGAGACCAGGCTTGTTGAATTGTGACATCCATTAATTAGTTCCAGGGTAGCACCCCTATTGATGCTTTTCCACTGTAATGCCAAACCAACACATCGTATTTAGGGTTCTGTCAACTATGTTTCAACCTGGCTGGTATTTTATTTTTATACATGCTCCTATGATCATGCAGGTGATCGCAGAGATCAAAAAACTCTGGAGAGGCTTCAGGCTGAAAGGCAAGCGAAAATTGATGAACTTAAAGAGAAGACAAATTATTATTCGACTCAGCAGCTCATTCAGGTAAAAGTAATAAGTTGATGCCGTACTTGTATTGTTATGTTATCCATGGGATTTCCCTTGAGGTGTTTTTAATCCTTTGGAAAGATGAGGATGTGGGTGACTTTCCTCCTCCTTTAGTCTTTTTAATTTCAATTTCAAAACTGTAAGTCTTTTTAACAAAAATAGACAACAACCTGTATTGTTTTTCTCAGGGACCAAACAACTGAAACATTAATTTTCATGCATTGTATGCTCACTTGCCTGCTTCAACAAAGCTAGGGATAATGGGGCAATGTGAAGATTAATTAGCTAGATTTTGGCTAGATATATTGAGAATTGCTTGATTATGTTGTAACATTGAGATTGACTTATGCATTGATCCCCTAAAATTCTTAGGTGTTTATGTTCCAAACACAGCACGAAGATAGTTACTTTCCACAAAATCATAAAGGTCACGAATACCTATGGTTATCATTCTGACAGTAGGAAATAAGATATAACAGAAGTGATAGTTCTAATATTTTATGCTGATTCCAGAGTAAACCATTGATATTCCTTTTGTAATTTTAATTTTAATTTTAATAATTATTTTTAGATCACATAGAAATAGTTGCTTTGTTTGCTATATAAGTTGCTAGATATCATTATTAAATATGCTGGGAATGCTGACATTGCATTTTTCGGGGTAATTGCAACGCAGAAAAGGAGGATATATTGGAGAAGCAAACAAGTGAAACAAAATTGATCCTGAAGAACATGAATTGAATTATAAGACCAGACAAATGTTGATGATTTGACAGCTCAGGATGCTTGTAATAGCAGAGTCCTCCTTTCCTTAGTTGTTACATTGACCCCACTTTTTCTGTGGCATCTCTGCTGCAGTGCCTCAATATCTGATCTGTTGAACTTGTTTATTATGATACCATTTATAGTGACTAACTCCAGCCCATGTGGGAATGGTCCAATTTGGCCCATTGGGTATTTTAAATGTTTGCTGCTTTGCGGGAGTTTTTGGGGGTGGAATGTTAAAGATGAAAGGATTTGTTAGTGAATGCAATCAGTTGTGTTGTACTTTAGAATGCATGTTATTAACAAGCTTTATAAAGAACATTTTCATTATTTTGAAAATGTGCTGTGATATCTTTGAGTATCTGCAAATCGTTGCTTGGTGTGAACCATTTCTTTTTCCTGATTACATGGGGGCAAACCTTTTTGTATGCAGAGATATGATCCTGACCCGGCAGCTAAGGCAGCTGCTGCAACTGTCCTTGCATCTAAGCTGGGTGCAGATTCTGGCTTGAAAGTGTACGTTGGAGATGAATCTAAGCCAGCTCTTCCTACAGGGAAGAGTAATGATGCTGAGTTTGTGCAAGCTAGTGGGCTTAGAAATAGAAAGCAAGTGCACACAACATCCAGTAGTTCAGGGAGCACTCTGGTGCAGCATTCTGATGAAGAAATGCCACTTTCTGTGCAAAGTGAAGGTCCTCTGACATCTGAGCATAATCAACTTGTTGTTGAGCATTACACTCCGCAGGGACATACCACATATGATGGGGGGTGGGTTGCTCGAATTGCAGCATTACTTGTCGGTGAGGATCCAACACAATCATATGCAATGATATGTGGCAACTGCCATATGCACAATGGTGAGTGGACTGTTGTTTATTTTGAAACTATCTTCTTTTTTATGGGCTTGCTATGGCTGTAGAACTGCATTTTGAACACTAGCCACCTTCATTAAACGGCCACAACCTATGATTGCACACACGTGAACATAAAGATAGTCAAGTGTAGTGCTGCGGTTGACTTTTTAGCATTATGGATTGGATTCCAGGGCTTGCTAGGAAGGAGGATTTTCCATTCATCACATATTACTGCCCACATTGTCGTGCCCTGAACCAGCCAAAACAACTAGAAGAGCGTGTTTCTGGTTCTAGTTCCCCTGGATTGAGCACTTTGAGGAAAGGGACGGGGGCTAGCGCTGAACCCATCAGCAATGCTGGTGATTCTCCGAGTGATGATAGTGTACTTG